TTCAGGTTCAGGTTCAAAGATCTGCAAAATTTGTGGTTCAGGTTCAGATTCAGTTCAGGTTCATTGAACCTAAATTTAAACTGAACTGAACCTAGGAACCCTAGTATGAAGCAATGTTGGTAACCGAAGTAGAAGGTTGAAATATGGTTGTACATTTCTAAATATTACCATTACCATTATCTATTTGTACTTTGCAATATTTAAGCTTTGTAACTTTATCCCGTTTTGTATAATATCATACCCAGCTTTCATTTGATTTTTTTCTATTAGTAGGCATTATGTTTTTTCTTTTTGCAGATATTTGTGAAAAACGAGATACAGTAAGGAATGAAGATGCTTATGCTAATGTTTTATTTTGTTCGGGAATTATATTATCATCAGATTCTTCTAGGCCAGAACCTTCGCTTTCAGTAATACCCTCATATGACAAAAAACTATTTAGAGAGGTTTGTCTTTTTAATAATTGTGTCTGCTCTATTTCAAGAGTTTTGTGATCAGAAAGCATAGTATAAGATAGTCCTATAGTATCTAATAAGTTGGACATCGTAGTATATGATAGATCGATTTAGAAAAAAATGTTTCTTTATATAAAAGTGATAAATAAATAAAGAGATTTATAATATTTATTTGAAAAAGCGCATAAAACATATAATTAATAAGGGTCAAGTTTTATATTGATATTTATATTGATTAAAATCATAATAAATTTTAAACCTATGAATAATTGAAATGTTATTTATTAATATACATATAAAATACATTGCAGAATTGCTTATTTAAATTACTATTCAAAATATCGCATGATCTTTTATTGATTTAAAACAGCTAATAAAATTTTTTTTATCTAATTCTAATCGCATTACTTATTTTGTTGTTATTAGTAAGAGTCAATTGAACAAGCAGTATGCAATTTACCTCCTGCTTTAGAATAGATTAGCATTTTTAAAGTTTTTTGAAACCTAGTTTCAAACTGATTAATAAAAATAAATTACCATTACTGTAAAAAAGTAAAGTTTTACATGCTTTGATCAAGTTTTATTTAATACTATATGTATTTATGAAAAAGGCTAAATGCTTACGATCTTCAAAAATATAATATTTGAGTAAGCCTGCCCAAATCAGGTTTTTAGTCGACTAAGCCGGCTTTTTGTAAATTCGACCAACTTAGCCAGCTAAGTCAGCTAAGTCAACTAACCCCGAATCGACTAATATCCCTAATCTAAATATGTTACTAACAGTTTTAAATTAGTTGCTATATAAGTGCTACCAAGGGAAAAGGGCACATAAAATTTTTACTATAAACTTTGATTAAAGATATCTCGATAACTATTGCATCAAATTTGATGAATATTTTTTATTGAATTCTACAGATCTGTAGAATTCAAATAAAAAAAAATTCATCAAATTTGATACAATAATTATCGAGATATCTTTAATCAAAGTTTATAGTAAAAATTTCATATGCTCTTTTTTCCTTGGCAGCACTCATATAATGGTTGTAATTATGGTTAAAGCATTAATAGATATGAAATTTATATCGATAATGATAAAATATACTATTTTCAAGATTTTGATTTTTTATATTATTCATAAATCATTTTAGTGTTCTTAGAAAACTAAAAAAAAATAGTAAATAAATATTTTATTGTTATTTTTTCATATAAATACTTCTTTGAACATGTTGTAAGCAGAAAAACATAAATATGCACTGATTTAATTAGCCCAAGATAAATTTATATTATTAGTATTAGAGAATAAATTACAGATAAACCTAGTACTGTAAGATATTATTTTGCCAAAATTGCCAATGCAGGAAGGAGAGTTTTATACTAGTGCTACCAATTTAAATAGTTTCTTTGTTAAGAGAAATTTCAGGTAATTTACAATACCAATCAAATTTGTGATTATTTTTATTAATAAAATATAAGAAGAAAAAAACGATCAGTTAAAAAAGTAATACAAATAAAAGAAAATAAGAAAAAAACTTTACTGATAATTAAAAAACATAGTTTATTATATTAAACTAATTAATATGACAAAGATATGGATAGAAAAATTTTTCAATAAATTTTTTATAATTTTTGGTATAAAAATGCTTCATTGTTATACTCTATATAATTAATATTGTAGTTGCAACTAAACTCAATACACTATCAAGCTAGAATTTCTTTTATTGTTACTAAGCTAACTATAATTTCTTATATTAATATCAAAGAAATCTTATGATTTTTTTTCTAGTTTTATTCTATTATCTTTTGTATATTTTTTTTGGGTTATTTTTAGCTAAAACTATAAATATCTTGGTGATTTAAAAAAAAAAATATTAGTAGAATTTTTACTACTCTAAATAATGAAAATAATCTTAATTGGTTATCTAAAAGCTCTGAATAGAATATATTATTTAACAATCAATAAATTTCTCAACATTATTAAATTATTATTATTATTTTTTTTTGTTTTTTTTTTATTTGGCAAAGGTGACTCTAAATGTTAGTGAGATTTTATTAAGCAAGTATTAGATACTATACATTATGACGAAGGTACATCAAGCTATACATGCTATTTAAGTAGTCCGCCTAAAGGTTCTACACTATCTGCCATACCTGCACCCCAACTAGGGGTACCTATTTAAACCTTCTGATTTTAACATATTCAGCCTATCCCTACCTAACGCAGGTGTAACTCACTAAACAGGTTAGATTTTGTGACACTACTACATTTACTAGCCAACTTAGGACACTTAACTATCCTCAAGAGTAAACCTAACAGAGCGGTACATGTCCCACACATGTATTCACCTGCATGTTCGGCAACTTCTTCCTAACTAGTACCTGTTGTACTGCTGACACCGGGTCTGTATCTCAAGCTACCTTTTAGAGTACTGCCGTAACCTAATTTGTATCTCAAGCTACAACCTTCCTAATTAGTCTCCCATTACGTACTCATTGCCCTTAATTGGTTCACAACAATCCCAGTATCCACATTTGGATCCGTCTTCTTATTCAGATTCTCTATTGGTCTCTCCCTTACTTCCAGCCGGCAACCCAGAAGGGTTGGTCAGCTCAGGCTTTAGGTGTCTGAAGGACACCCTCCCCTTGGTTTGTACTTTCGGAACATATGCGCTTTTTCTCTAGTGCGACAACCCGGCAGTTCAGCTGGTGTATCTTCCACCATAGAAACTGGTCGCTTGGTTCTCCGATCTCGGGTCCCAGTTTGAATTTAGCTCTCCTGTGATACTGCCAAAGATCGCTATTACATCCAAATTCAGGACTTCCCAAATTGGTTTTCAGTTATACTAGTTCCTCAGATTTATTACACCAAAGCTCCCATTTCAAGATAGTGTGACTGAAGTTACAGATTTAGGATTCAACCAATAAGCATAGCTGTCAACCGAATACAGGCCTATTTTTCAAATATCGTCGCCAGTAGGATTTGAACTCTAGACCTGCCACTTGGAAAGGGTGACGACTAGACCACTATACTAAGTTGCCACACCTTCTAATTATTAAATTATTATACAGTCGTCCCTCCATATAGTCATCTCCCATATAATCACATCATATGTAATCACATTTTTATTTAGGCCAAACTATAATTTAATTTATAAGAAAAAAACCT